TGTGTCTCACAAACTCAGTGTGTTGTGGGGTAGTTGACGTGAAGCTGTCTGCTGGTAGGGGACCTAATGCTGGGACTAGTTGGCCAATTCGAATGGAACCGGCCCGTTGTAGTTTTTCAATGAATTCAGGGAGGACACTTGGGTGACATAGACTGTTATTCTCAAAACTGCATCGCTCTAGTGTCACTGAGGGTTGGGGACGTATTAAAGCCTCAGTTTGATGCCTCCTTATGGTTCGGTGTTTGCTTTCGGAGCATCTGATGTGTTCTCCCATTTTCCCCTGGGTCTCATACCACCGTTGAAGTGCTATGGCCAACTGTTCCGGGGAGTTGAATGTGACACTTGGTAGCTTTGGAGAGCTAATCAGTGTGAGATGAGCAAGGCGAGGTAGTCGGAAAATGTTTTTTCACAAGCAGTGCCTCTTTCCAACTCCGGAACACCGTGTCCGACCATAGAGGTAGAAGGCATCGATTCCGGTGACTCCCTCACCACTTGTCTGTTAGCCCATGGTCCGTCTTGTCCCACCCTTATGCTCGAACTTCTGTCGATGGCTAGTACCTGAGCCATTAATAGCACTCTTTCGGCCTCTTCGGCAGAGTCCAGTGTAACCCTAAATGGAGGCGGCTTACCCTGAAGCGTGTGGACACCCCTGTACAGCCTGCACAATTTCGCTCAACTAATGTTCAGGCCTAATTTATTGCACAAGTCGGACCACTGGTCCTGGTTAAACAGGGCCCGTTGTTCAAGCAAGCTATCCTTGTTCACAGATACATTAAAAAGGATAAGAGAATTAGACCGACTGACCTCAGACTTAGGTTTGGACTTTGGCTGCTTATATTCCTTTGCAGCGTCAGTAACTTTAGGCCAGCCTTTGCTGTGTTGCCAAGCTTGCTGGTGGATGCAAGTGGTGCTTTTGCAATTCTATCATTCCCTGATGTTGTGGCTGCAACCTTGGGACTCTTCATCTTGTGAAGATTGCCATTTCCAGTCAGTCGGACTGGGGTGTCGTTCTTACTCTCTGTACCAAGTTTTGGTAGTGCGGTGTTAGCAGGTGGGGAGCTGCATGAGACTGTGTTGAGACACGAGAGTGGCATGTTGTTTCTGCTATGCGCAGACACGCTGTACCAAGGCGATAAAGTGGACAGATGTATCAAAACCATGGGCATGGGTTATTTAGCATAAACTCATAGTATGATTTCTGCACCCCTTTGTTACAACGGCAGTGTACCCATTGTTTACAAAACTTGCATTAGAAAGCTGACTCAGTTTTAGAAACGATGACGCTACACGCCTGACATTCGTCTCCCTTCCTTGATGACGCCTTCGATGTCTGATGACGTCTTGAGCATTTCCCTTTTGCTTTGCTGTGTTTCACTCACTGGTTTTCAGTGGATACATGTATAGTATCCTGTCCACCTGGTATTGCATGTGCCGTTTCAGTACTAGACTGTGGCAATGCAGGCGTAGTATCAGAACAAACGAGACCTACACCAGTCTTTAGGACCGATATGCGAGAAGGGGTTGATGTGCCTGGGTTTTCGCCTTCTCTTGCTGAAGCTCTTGTGACTACAGAATATGGTGTTTTATTGCTTTTTCTAAGGCTACTTTCAACAGCCATATTAACAATCACTGTGACTTATGCTATATACGAATAAGAGAGCAACAGTATCTACCCACAAGAACAAGAATAAGACTGATAGAGTACAAGACAAGGGAAAGAAAAGTCTTGTTTATCTGAACGAGTGAGGAAGATGGTGCTACAGAAGTGGCACCTGAAGCTTTGGCAGTAGTTCGAGACAGCTGGACTTACCACATAGGGATTCAATATGTAAGTAATGGTTGCATTTAATTCACCGGCTAGGGAGATCAGATTTCCCAAATGGATAATTCACAAAATAGGTATTTTCCGGTTAGAGAGGAAAAAGCACGTCGTATTCAAGGAGCGCACGCGGATTTATATATGTATATTTCTGATTCTGAATGAGATTTTACTAGGAGGTTGACAATATGAAACCTTTTGAGGCGGGAGAAATGGCAATACCTGTGCGTGAGGTGAAATCTCTCTGACTAAACCTTAGCAAACTTTCGGTTAGTTTCCCCTAGATATACTGGTGAACGTGCCTGGTAATAATTCCCCATCGGGTATATTTACTCTTGGAACCTGGATTAAAATTCATTTCACACTTGTGAGTAAGGCATATGCATTTCTTTTGAGCGTTACGATTCGACTTTCCCAAAATGATGCATCTTTTATCTGTCTAGCATCTTCTAATGAAACACTTGTCACAAACCATATGAAAAATGACATACATGCCGGTTACTTATATTGTTTGTTGGATGGCCGGAGAAATATATTCACACTGCTTGAAACACTACTCGAAGTAAGCTCGAATTAAGCCAACTTCTATTCATGGATTTTCAGTAACAGTGTTTAGGATCCTGAAAAACAATCCGAAAATCACACGCAAGCTTTAGAAGGACTGCGTCCAAATTGCCTATCCCCTTAAAATCCCATACACCATTCATGGGTAGACAACTAAGTACGTCGTTTTACTTCTTTACATTTTCTTCCGTCTTACTCTCCTGACAATTTTAACTACACTTATCATTATTACCGGTATATATATACAAATTATTCATATTATTCTTCAGATTTAATCAGTTGACTGTTGTTACTTTATTTTATTTTTTTTATTTTGATTTACAGCTTGATTCCACACCATATTTTCAGTACAAGTGTGGAATTTTCAGCATGGATATCGGTAGCCCAAATTCAGGCCGACCATAGATATCGGGTGTGCGCCGGCAGGGGATCGAACCCCGGACCATGTGCATGGTCGGCGAGAGTCCTAACCACTGTGCCACCGACGCACAGGGACAGGTGTTGAATCATTCCTATTACACGTAATCTCCCCAGTTGATTCGATAAATAAAGCTTCTGTTATCAATACGACTCATAAGTAACAAAAAAAGTTGATGTAAGCTTCCAAAATAAACTATATAAACAAACGAATGAGGTGGCGGTGCCATTACGAATGTCCCCAATAGTACCAGACATATTTTAGGATAGTTGAGAACTTAAGGCTCTCTCCTGCTCCTAGGTTATGATGGAGATATGTGTGGATGACACATCCCATCACTGTGTTGAAATCTGAACATATCCCTCAATTGCTCGTACATATTAAGTGAATAGAAGACGGAATCCAATTCACTTCTGAGTTAGAAAACGGACAACGTGAGTTGGTTATGCTAGACTAGACTGTAGAATAAAACGAAAACAAGATGATGGGTGGTTAGATACCAACTGGCATTTATAGGAAACCAACACACTCCAATAAATACTTGGACTTTAATTCATCCCATTCAGAATCGGTAAAGGTAGCTTTAGTTAAATGTCTGTAAAATCGGACCACGAGCTTTACTAGTAAAGCCACAGGATTTAAATAATGAATTCAAGCAAATAAAGGAAGTATTACTAGTGAATCCACCAGAATTTAATCAGAAATATATGAAGAACCACAGAGAAAATAAGATTGGTAGGGGAAATAACGAAAATAATATAGAATTCAAAGCCTCTGTAGTACTGCAGTATAAAGAAGGGACGTCAGAGGCCTTACGCAGGATTCTCAATCAAGCTGGAATTAGTCAGGGTGGCATTTGAGCCAATTAAACAACCAACTGTTTCACATACAAACTCTGTCGGTTTAAGCACCCACCCGATAGATCCTATTAATAAAAACAATATAATTTACCAAATACCATGCCTGTAATGACTGTTAGTGAGGTCAGTGAAATAGGCAACTCAAACTGGTAGATAAGGGCCAGCTAGATTATTGGAACATAGAAATTTAGCTAGACTTAGAGTAATTGACCCTGCTAAGTTAAATAACCTAGAAAAAACAGAGGTCAGCCATTGCATCTCAATACATTCACTTGCATGTGATCACAAAATAGGGTAGGTGGGAGAGGGCGAGAGTATTAAAAAGAAATATAGTTAGGTGGAGACAGAGAGGGGGGTTAATCACTGAAGCTTTGTTTGTCAATTCAACACCGCACATGTGCAATCGGAATAACGCAACGCCGGGGGGAAGTTGGAGAGACAGAAAGAGAGGAAATGTGTATAAGACAAAATATGAAAACGTGTGACTAAATTGATATGGTTATGAGTGGCAATAATTTATGCTCGAAACCTTGTCGTCTAGTTGTTAATACCGTATGGAATTCAAGGTCAACTGTCAAACATAAACAACAACAAAAACATTCTTCATCACACCCCCACATCTTACTTTCTCTTTTTCTATGCATCCTCTTGTCCATCAAAATGTCAAAACGTCCTCCACAGCTGACGTGGACATTAACTTCTGATCAGCAAACTAAATACACCCAGGAACTGTAACAAACTAGCGAAACAGCTGTCACCTGATTCACTCTGCATAGTAATTACCTATAGACTTATGTACACGATAATATCCGTTTTCTTATTTCTTTTTCTGTCTGTTAGTCTGAATAACTTCACTAATTATATTTACTCTTATTATTATCTCTTTGACGATGATACTGGAGGACTAGCTGGTGAAACGATCAACTCCATTCACAGTAGTAAAAGTCTTGACACATCTCATACTTCAAACCAGATATAATTAATCCCAGTACTACTCCTTTTGGAGTCAACGACAGTTGAGTGGTGGGATGGGCTACGCAGAAGTTTACCAAAGATCAGGAACCTATACCTCACAATGAAAAGGTGGGCGCAAAGAAAACAAATTGGTTTACACTAGCTCGTAAAAACGATACTGGATATAAAGTAGATTTTGGACGTTAATAGTACCGATATATTCTGTAGACTTCTTCAACTTAAAAATGCAACAGAATAGTTCAATAATATTAAAATATCGTTTCACAGTAACTTCACAAACTAAACAAGAAAAAGAAATGGCTCAAATTAAGAATGACCTTGAATGTTGTTTGAACTTGTCAATTTAGACATATACACACTCAGTGTGAAAATGAATCGTGTGAAAGAAGTGTTTTGTAGCAAATGTCGCTACATAATTGCTGTAATGGCATTTTTAAACTGCATCCTTATTTACATGATGAGAGTTGACTTAAATGTCACAATTCTTGCTATGGTTAATGAAACAGTAGAGGAAAAGTCTAACATTCATAAGACTTTTTTCTGTGCAAACTCTACGGATGACGTTCCAACCAACCATAACAGAGTAAATGAGTGGTTTCGATTTCATTATTTTGTTAAGATCAATGTTGGCGAACTCAATTGGGGAAGATTAACTCAAGGGATTGTACTTGGAGCTTTTTTCTGGGGTTATATTATAACTCAAATTCCAGGTTAGATTCACTACTTTTACTGGTTATGTAATTATTATTGAGGATAAATCTATAAATCTGGGCGCAAAATGGTGATGAAATGTAGACACATATATGTGTCTAAAACATATGTTTTAGTCGCAGGTTTGATTTCACTGGATATTCAGATTTAGATTTATTGACTGAGGATATAAGGTTTGAAGCCTATGTTAATCATTTCCTCGTAAATTTCTATGCTTTTCCAAATCATTCTTGAGTGAATCAGATGAGGTTCTAGGGGTTGGTTCCAGAAGTTTATGACTCGATATGAGAACCAGTATACCACAGCAATATGATTTCTTCTTGGTTTTTGAAATCTGCTGGATGAAGTTCTACAATAGCGTTCCAGGAGTGCAAATGCTCCAATGACCTTGAACGCATGGTAGTCGTTGGCTAGCGGCACTTGTCAATATCATAACTAAAATCAACTCTATTCACCAACTAAGATGCAAATTTCACCTAGATCACGTTTCTAAGTACTTTTCGGACAATATGTTAATAGCTCGTTAGGGTTATGATTAGGGTAGAGTTAGGTATTGGTTTAGAATTAGGATTAGGGTTAGGTTTACGGTTAGGATAAGGATTGTAATTAGGATTAGTGCTAAGTTAAGGGTCAGGGTCAGGATTAAGGTTAGGTTTACGATTATGGATAGATTTAGAGTTGATGTCATTTATTTTGATCTGTTTTATTATCCACATTTTCCTGGTAAGTAGGCGTCGGTCCTCTAGCTAAAAACCATAGTAATTCAACCGACGGATTCCGTGGGGAAGACCGCGCGACAGGATAAGAGAGATGAATGATTCACAGAAACAGCTCATCTTCAGTCAGCTGGGTGAATGCATGTAGAGAAACAAGTCTAACTTAGCAACTGATACTCCTCATTATAACTAAGACGTATTTTTAAGTCATGTCAGATAAAGATGTGTTTTCATGTATTTTCTTGTAAGTATTCGTCATTTTTTGTGCAAAAATTCCTCATTTTTATGACTGGTCGGTTGAAGGGCAGTCGTGCGTTTGCATCCTTTGGACGCCATTGTTGAACTTCGCCCTCTCCTGCTATGTCCTCTAAGATGTTCTGAAGGGACATGTTAGGTCATTGTTCACTACTTAAATTTTAAACATTGTAACTAGATCCCCTCTCTGCCTACGGCATGATAGGGAGAAGAGATTTAAACTGTCTACTCGTATGATAGATCAGTCATTCCGAGAATCATAATTGTTGCCTTCCTTTGAACCTTTTCTAGAATATCTGAGTCCCCTTTAAGAGAAAGACTGGCTACCTGGATACAGTTCTCCGGTCTTGACCTCACCAGAGTTGGACATAACTCTGGTGATTCTAGTAAAGGCTCTGCGAATTGCCCATAAGGATCTGAAACTACGTGCAGCTACCGCGCGAGAGTGCACTGTAGTATTTAAATCGCGACTTAATATGACACCTAAATCCAAATGAGTATGAACTGATGGAAGTGTTATTCCCCCTAGTTTGTAGGTGCTGATGCTTGCTTGTCCTATGTGCATGGTTGCAAATTTCGCAACATTGATCAGGAACATCCATTCTCTGGACCATTCTGACATTTTGTTGAGGTCTTTTTGCAACGGGAGCGTATCACTGTCGCCCTTCAGCTCTCTCCAGATTTTTAGGACCACATGGGAATCGGTGAGTGGAGATAACTCATTGATATACAAAATAAATAGGAAAGGTCCGAAAACCGTATCTTGTGGCACTCCGCTACGCACTATTGTCCAGGAGGAAAGTTTCCAGTTGATCCCAACCCTCTGCTCCCTATCTATGAGGGATTTTCTAATCCATTTTAGTAAGCTGCCTTCGATACCAAGACTTTTCAACTTCACGATTAGTCTTTCATGAGGAACTTTATCGAAGGCTCCGCTTAAGGCCATAAAAGCGACGTCAACGGGTCTTCTTTTGTCCCTTGATTTGACCTAATTTTTTTGTAGTGAGGAGATTTAACAGACATGAAAGGTTTCCTTGGAAGACATGCTGTGATCCGGATAACAAATTGTCGTTTTGCAGATATGCCATGATACATTTCTCTGGGATTCTCTCCAGTGTCTTGATTAAAGTGATGGAAAGACTAATTGGCCTGTAATTTGAAGGGCTTTGTCTTGGTAATCCTCTGTGGATAAGGGTTACTATAGCGTCTTTCCAGTCACATGGTAACATTCTATTCAGGAGAGATACGGTAGTTTATACTGGATCTTTCTTTCCTGTAATCCCGTTTCCAATCCATTTGATTCTGTCTAACTAGGGTTAGGAATTTCTTCATAAACCTACAAATGGTTTGCTGTTAACATGACTAGTGCGTCCAAACTTTTAGCACTTGTAGAAAGGCATGTTTTCTTACGATTACACATGAACTGCTTGTTAGCTTGAAGTTGAAAAGCTATATCAGTGACAATTTTTAAGTTCCTTGTTATACTGGGTTATTTTGACCTTAGAAATTGTATCTTGAGTAGATAATAAGATCAAAATGATGTAAGGAATTCTTATAACTCTCCTGGATGCTAAACTTTAACCCCTGTACCGCTGCTATCACTTTTTCAAGTACTTAGGGAGAATAAATTTAACTATAGTGTTTTTCCATTTCCGAGAGGCTACCGATATCAAAACAGATACCTTCATCGATATTCCCTTCAAAGTTTATTGATAACCCGAAAGACGTCTTCTTAATTTAATTTTCGACAGTTATCTAGTTGGTCTAACTGTCGTGTTCACAGCATTTCACAACCATTTCTCCGCCGTTAACTGGAGTTAGTGAAAGTAACCTAATGGGAGTAGTACCACTAAAGGTTACCCACACATTTTATTTTTACCATATGAAAAGGTTACTAGAACAGATTCCTTTGAAACATCATAAAGCATCGCATGATTTTCTTTCCATTTGTCTCGAAGTTTTTGAGGTCTGCATATTCTGACTAATATTTTTAATTATGCAAGTGTCTCTTACTCGTAAAAATTGGCCACTATTAGTTAATGTAGTCAATATACTGAAGTTACCTAGGAAATTTAGCACACATTTAAGTAACAACCGCTTGACGACAAGCTGTAATAACAAGAACAAACAGGAGTTATTTGTGAGCGAGAAGCCAATAGGTGCCGGAGAAAAAGTGGTGAAGTTCTCCGACCTTTACTTCCGGCTGTGTAGTCTGACAGGTTCACTCTAGTAACTATCATAGGGATTCTGCTGGCAAGCACAATCACCCAAACTTGAGCGTACATAGGATCACTGCAAATGAGATAGAGGCAATTAATCAAGTAAAAATCCAAAACGGGAAGTTTGATAAGCATCAGGCCAACAACTTTGGGTGTCAAGCACATTGCAAGAGGTTGAAGGAAAAATGACAGGAGATAGATAGTTACAATATATTCAGTAGTGATTCTGATCGAAATTTGTATAAATAATAGGGTCGAATAGGTGATGAGGCGGTTAATCACCTGACCTGAAAAAGTCAGTTTCGTCATCTTTTCCTGGGCTATAATGACATCAGACATTTTATGCTGTACAGGAGGGTAATTCTGAGTCGACCAATATCTGTTTTCTTCGGATTTTGTTTATTTGTAGTTTTAATTAAAAATGACGTGACATCTAATGAAATCATGGTCTTGTTGGATACGCTGACGTTTTCGATTGATTCAATAAAGTCAAATGAATCTCGAACTGTGTGGCAGGAAACTTGTCTTCTGGTTGCTTCCAGTAAGTCTGCCAACCATTGGGCTGTACAGTGATAAGGTGAATCGGTCATGTCAAGGATTGGTCAAAGAGGGGTACCGTTCTTGTGTGCTTTCGGGAGCCAGATGGTCTTAAGGGTTCCAACGTTTCGTTGCTAATGAAAGATTCAGTCTTTAGCTTACGGAGGGTGTCCATTAGCTTTTGTTCGGTTTGTTCAGTCATATTTTTCTCGTTGACCGGTTTTGTGAATTTGCATTTATCGGATAGTATAGTCAGCATTTTACTGTTATAGTCCTTGCAATTCATGATTACGATTCCTCCACCTCTGTCAGGACGTAATACCATCATCTCTTCGTTTTTCATAAGTTCTTTCAGCTCTTTATAATGCCTCTTCGTTAAAATGGACCTCCCGTTGGGTTTAGTATTGATAAACTTGTGACAGCAGTCGAGGATTGATGCTTTGAATTGTTGTAGGTTTTCATGTGATGTGGATGTGAGATCGTAAGTTTGGTTTATCAGATTTTCGAAGTGAACCTGGCATTCTACCTTGTCAATACCCGGTGGTTTTACGCAGAATTTTGAACCTAGGGAGAGTGCCTCTAGTTGAGTAGTAGACAGAGTGATGTTTTAGAGATCGAATACGCACTACTGGAACCAATCAGAAGACAAGTTTCCTGCCACACAGTCCGAGGTTCATTCGACTTTATCGACTCAATCGAAAACTTCAACGTATCCAACAAGACCATGATTTCATAAGATGTCACGTCATTATTCACAAACGTCCCACTGACAGAAACAATATGCTACATATGCGAACTTATTCACTCGAAGGAAGTAAATGTCGGCATACCCACCGAGCGTCTTAAGGAACTCCTACTGAATTTTACCTTGAATGTTCAATTCTCTTTTAATTAAAAATGTTTTATTTGCGTATAAACCGGTTTAATTAAATTTTTATTTCAGGTGGAATATTGGCCTTCAGATTTGGTCCTAAATGGGTGGTGTTTGTCAGTCTTGCTGGATGTGCAATCATTGAATTCTGTATACCGCCTGCAGCACGTAGTCATGTTGAAATTTTAATCTTTCTACGTGTAGCAGAAGGCCTTTTACAGGTAATACTCCCTTATTATTATTATTACCAAATTAATGTGATTAAATGTAATAACATTCAACCTGGCTACAAAGCACTACTGTTTGCCATCAATGGTTTCAAACCACCTAATATCGACCAACAAGTAGAATAGACCTTCGCTTTGTTTTACTTGATTTCTTGATTGTCATTTATGGCATCGAAGAGATCACTTATTTTGATATAATTACTTCTGAATTCAGGAGGTAACCAGGATGATTTCCCAACTTATAATGGCCAATATGAAGAATGTTAAGGTCGATCTAATGTATATCCAGTTAACCCAAATAGCTAACCAAACTTCAAGCACTTCAAACTGGTTAGATTCTCTGAGTGACATTGCGCACCAGGCTATCGGGTGGGAAACGGCGAATCGGACATTCGACAGTGATGCAAAGGGGATCTTGTGAAGAGGAAATATAAGCATATGAGCAGTTATGGAGGCGACTAAAGAGGACTACAAACAATGGGGATTCGCTCTTGAAGCCCTACGTTCCATTCAAAACCGAAGGGAATAATAAGGTCCTCCTAGTTGAGTCACAACTGGCTCAGCCTCAAGACGAGCGAACTGACTATTCCTTGTTTATACCGCTCTGGTCTGCCTATTTAAAACAGCTGCTTGACATGAGTGGTTACTGACTACTTAAATCAGTCAGTAGTATATACCATCAAAACAATGGATAGTGTATCATTAGTTCTTTAATTTCTTTGTATCCTTCTTTATTTTTACTCTAACCACTGTCAAGAATTCATAATTTTGTACCATTTAGTGTCAACTGGTTTCTTCAGCGATCTTCTTTATCTGTCTTCTGGTTTATGCTGAAAATTATGCGAAAATATCTATCATGAACAATCCTTGTCTGTCTATTGAATAGGTCACTTAAAAAGTGAGGCTTCGATGGTAGTAGATGGTTGGAGGCAATCGCCAGGAGGAAGCCTAATCAGACCTAAGTTTCGTGCTAGTTGGCACTCGTCAGCAAGGCGCATCTGCAACCTGGAAGGAACTCATGTCCCTTCTGAGATTCAAACCCACGGCGTCACCCAGTGAGTGCTGCAGTCAGAGACGTTACTACTGAGTTATTCCGGCTCGCGGTTGACCTCCTGTAGGACTGTAGTGGATACTTTGATTGGATACTAGTAACTAGTGTAATGTGTCTAGCCCTTTTTTCTTTCTGACAGATAGAATTTAGTCTGCACCAAAGAAAGGACAAGACACATCACACTAGCTACTAGTGTCCCACCAAAGTGAGGCCTTGTTTGAAAAACTTTGTCCGACTCCTAATACGACTAAAGGATTGACATTCTTTGCTGAAGGGTCTTGAACTGGAAGTATCCGCCGTCATCAATTATTTTTGAGGATCTTTAGCAGTGACTATAATCGTGATTTACCGGGCACAGATTTCATAATTTAACTTTGAAGATATGCTAAAATCGATATTGAAGAATACTGATATTATCACTGGATTGTGTGCTACTCATGAATAGATACAAGTAGTATCTAAAATATTATCTTCGGAAAAACGAATGGTGATTTATGATGTAAAAAGAGAAAAGCCACTACAGAAGAGACATAAAAACAAGAGATGACAACTCCGGGAAGAATATGCTGAGTAACAGACAGTGACCTGGGAAACATGTCTAAATACAGAATTATGAAAAAGAGAAGACGTTCAGCGAAGAGACTCTTTCTGGCGAATTCATTCACATAGCTGTACAGTCGCATTTATGTACAATTATTTGTGTGTATGTGTGTACATGAGGTTTGTCAAGTTTAGATAATTGATCAGGTAACACAAGAATGATCTAATATAGAAACAAGGTTAATCAGGCAGCAACTAAAGCAAGATTGAGTTAGTAAGTTGGATGACGTAATATAATTGACTAAAATGTTTCAACTTAGGTCAGGATAGCAACAGAGGTAATTACAGGCAGAGACTAAGTAGAAGTGGGGTAGAGAATAGTGCCATTTAAATTAGAACTAAAATTGAGCAAATAAGTTGGATGACGTAACATAAATGACTAGAAATTGAGTGTTGATCAAGTCAGTAACAGTGGTGGTACAGCGGTTATGACTCTCGCAGACCATGCACATGTTCCGAGGTTCGATCCCCCGCCGATGCACACCTGATATCTATGGTCTATGGCCTGCTAAATTTGGGCTACCAATATCACACGCTGAAAGTTTTATACTTGTACCAAAATACTGTGTGGAATCAAGCTATAATAAAATATATATAATGAGGTGTAGAAATTAAATTGGGTGGGGGTAGAGAACAAGAAAGTTGAAAATGTAAAATGTTACAATTGAGAAGACAAAATAATACTAATGAAGAGACGGAAGAAAAGATTAGGTAGAATTTACTTGTCGGGTAATAAGGCAGATTACGTCCATTGCAAGTGTAGTGATTGAATGAACTTCTTCTGTATGCAGAGTTCAGGACTTAGCAAGTGAATCGCCGTTGCTTCTGCAGTTTGAAGAAGTCTGATTCGTACACCTTTAGGAAGGCCAATTCTTACTCTGTAGACGACTTTGAAGTTTGTTTGGGGTGTAGCTTGGTGTCCAGATTCTATCAGATATTCTAAGAGGGAGCTGCGGAGGGATCGTTTTTCTCCTTTGTAAAACCATGTTGGTGATGGATGATATTATCTGCAGGTAGGGAAATGGATTTAGAACTTATCATTTTGTGAATGTTGATGTGTAACTCATTAATGGAACAGATAATCTCACTTAATGAACATACTCGATTTTATAGTTGTAAATACGGATAGGATCAATGTCCTAGACAACTAACTATAAAAGTTTCAGCAATCAGACATGATGACTAACCTTGAAAAAGTCTGTCTGACTGACTGCCTTATTCACGAGTATTCATAAACCTGTTGATTCTATGAGGTGTAATGGTTTGTCTACACTGCCTTCAAGCAGCGATGGGGGCGTATTCCATACAAAAGTATAAGGGTGAATGCAAACGTTTGGCACTTAAAACCAGACTGGCGGACACATAGGTCTTAATAGGGGATCTGGAAAAGAAAATAGATAGTGTGCCTGAAATAACATTAGCTTGACAGATTGCCAGTGAATGTAGCGATTGGTTATTGAAGGTGAAACGAAGATCCGGATTGGGGTAGGGCTTTTGTAACCATGATTCTATTTTTTTGCCTTCACGTTCCCAGTGGAACATAGGGCTTCAAGCTAGAAGCCTGAAGTTTCTATAGCAGTGTTTATTTTTACAGCATGGGGTTGCTAGCCTCATGCCCAACCTCCCCTCTTTACCAACTTTAATACTGGCTTAGCGAGGTGAAGGAGTGCGTCGGCCGTGGATCGAACCCCGAACCATGTGCATGGTCGCCGAGCTTACTAACCGCTATGCCACCGACGCACAATGTGTGTGTTTCGTTGTGAAGTTGGCGCAGAGTAGATGGAGGCGTGTGACTCGAGTGAATATTGTGCGTGATGTTGTGGGAGTTGTTAGTTTTAGTATGTGTAGCGTCAAAATCCCTATCGCCCCCGGGTGGGCTCGAACCACCAACCTTTCGGTTAACAGCCGAACGCGCTAACCCATTGCGCCACGGAGGCACAAGTCATGTTACAGTTAATCAATAATGATTAGTAATCATCTACCACATTCATACTCATATATCAATTTATTTAGTCTATAGGAAGCAATCGATCACGAATATCTAATCTATTTAGGTACCATACTGTTAAAGAATGTTACTTGGGTATGACAATGAATAAAGGTCAGGTAATGATTTAAACACGTGTATTTCTGCGATTTTATCATCAAACCTTAAATGTGTTAATGACTAATCACTTTCATGTTAGACTTATTGCTAGTTCAACCAATCAGTTAAGAGTATTTAAATAAGATCACTTATTAGTACATGGCAGCTTGGCATGATCTGTGATGATCGTAGTGAAATGATAATCAAGTAATCACCTGCGTTTCGGCGTTGATTTCTCCAAAGTTGCTGGGCTAATTAATAATCTGAAGACCCAGGTATCCATTTCATTTTAGATAATATATATTAATAGATTTTTATGAACTGATATCATTTGTGGAACTATCGAGTCCTACTCGGCAGGGAACCGCTGTCTAGCCTTCAGCATTGCCCCCCTATGGTACCATCAGAGATGAAACCAGGCTCGTTGACTATTCAGTCAGTTCGATCGGAACTTAGTGTGTTCTGTGAATTCCAAATTCGTCGACTCCAGATTGGGCACAACCTTCATCTTGACATGATGGATTCTGCTGGCCACGATTTCTCAGCACACCCACAGGACATACCACCTAGTAGCCATCAGTCGACTGGAGACTGATATATTGACTATAGGTTTGCAACAAATTTAACACTTTGTTTGGTGCTGGTTAATGATGATAGCGCTATATTAGGAAATGACATAGTTAGGATTCATGAGTCATTCAATTCCAGCCCAGCTATCTGACTGAATTTCCAACTGGATTGACCTGCAGTTCTATGATTTCAATCCTTGTTGGGGTCCTGGGTGCGCACTTCTGAAGAATCCCCAGCTAGGACGATACAGCCGCCCGGGTTGTCAATGATTCTGTATCTGATGTCTTGGTTCCTGACCAGATCTTCACTGAAATTACTCTAAACTCCTAAAACTCCCATAATCTAAATCACAGCATTGACGACAATCAACATGGTTGACCTCATCGTTCACAACTTCAAATTCGGACATCAGGATCTCCACATTGAAGCCATTTCAATAGTCCTTAGTTTTCAGAGATTTCCTAATTGATGTGGGTTCGCGATGAAACTCATGAAGAGCTTAGTCGAACCTCTAAGTAACACTAAGAATGTGATGATTTTACAAGACTGGACTACACTGACTCCTAGTTTAGAAATAGGGAATGAATTGGTAGAGCACGTCGACCGGGTTGATCTCTGACGAAATCTCAGTATGGATACTGAGGGCTAGTTTTGCATTTGTCAGTTTACTCAGTCTCTGGCGTACAC